GTGACACGTTATTGGACATAATTCACCTTGCTTATTGTGTTGCCACACGGACCCTTTAGTGGGGAACACCTGTAGCTTTAGCTGCCATTCCTGCTAGCTCATCAGGCAGAGCAGTGCATGTGTTAACCTCTCTGAAAGGAATGGATAATAAAGATTGGAACTCCATTCTTAATACACCGCCTCCGACTCTCTTTTCACGGCACTACACTGGTGACCCTGACTTTTCCGAGAAAGTTTCCGGAAAATTAACGAACATGGCTGAGCGCGATGTTTTCATAAAGCTGCCGGAATTCTGGGAGCACACCGCGGAGGCATGGTTCGCACACGTGGAGGCACATTTCGCCTGCCGACAGGTCCGTGACGGGGACCTAAAATACTACCATATGGTAGCAGCGCTGGGGAGCTCCACGTCGTCCAGGTTGGTGGGATTCATCGCAGCCCCCCCACATCATGGCAAATATGAGGCGATTAAGGCCCTTCTCCTTAAGACATTTAGCTTATCTGCTAAGGAGAGGGCCCGCCAGATACTTGACATTCAAGGCCTAGGAGACAGCAAGCCATCCCAGCTAATGGAGAAAATGCTAAATCTGCTAGGGGGGGAAGATCCCCGTATTTTATTCACGGAGATTTTCCTGCGTCACTTGCCTCCCCGGGTACAGACGGCGCTGGCCAACACGCCTGTCACGGAGCCCCGTGCTTTGGCTGAGGAAGCGGATCGTTTTTTCCTGGCTACGCAACAGCCCGGGGCAGAGACGTTAGCCGCGACGCTCAGCGGCCCACCGGCAGTCAAGAAAGCGTGGCGGAGGCCGGACACGGCTGTGGCTAGCCGGCGTGGAGACGCCGGAGAGTGCGTTTACCACGCACGTTTCGGGACAAGGGCGAAGAGATGCATCGCTCCGTGCAGCTACAAACCCCCGGGAAACGGAGGGGCCGGCGCTTAGTAGTGGCTCTGAGCGTCGGCGGCACGTGCAGGCTCCTCTTCGTCAGCGACAGCGTTTCGGGGAGCCTGTTTCTGTGTGACACGGGCGCTCAACGGAGCGTAGTTCCAGCGTCGAGTGAAGACGTCGCCCGTGGGGGGCACGGACCGCGATTGACGACGGCTAACGGCAGTCCCATTCGCACGTACGGCGTGAGGCCTATGTGTTTGTGCATCGGAGGACAGCGTTTCAGCTGGGATTTTGTGACAGCGGACATTTCTTTTCCCCTCCTCGGAGCGGATTTTTTGTGTGCTCATGGACTCTTAGTGGACGTTAAGAATAAGCGTTTGGTTGATGCCTTAACGTTTTCTTCCCTCGTGTGCACACTTGGCAGCGCAGCGTACGACGGGCTGTCAGGCTCGCTGTCAGGTGCAGACACGTTTCTCAGACTGTTGGCCGAGTTTCCAGACCTGTCGCTACCCACCTTCTCTGCGCTTACCACTAAGCATGGCGTGGAACACCACGTCACTACCGGAGGGCCTCCTGTCTACGCCAGGGCCCGGCGGTTGAACCCTTCTAAGCTGGCTGTAGCGAGGGCGGAGTTCGCAACCATGGAGCGCCTGGGCATTGTCCGCCGCTCCGACAGTCCTTGGGCTTCCCCCTGCACGTCGTTCCCAAATCGAACGGCGGGTTCCGCCCGTGCGGGGATTACCGCCGACTCAACGACGCCACTACGCCTGACCGCTATCCGGTGCCGCACATTCAGGACTTTTCGGCGCATCTGGCCGGTACGGGGGTGTTTTCCAAGGTGGACCTGGTGCGTGGATACCACCAGGTGCCCATGCACCCCCTAGACATTCCCAAGACAGCAGTGATAACGCCTTTTGGACTTTTTGAGTTCCTGCGGATGCCTTTTGGACTCAAGAATGCCGCTCAGACGTTCCAGCGCCTGATGGATTCGGTGCTGCGGGACCTGCCGTTTGTGTTTGTTTACCTCGACGACATACTCGTCGCCAGCGCTTCAGTGCAGGAGCACCTGTCCCACCTCCGAGCCCTTTTCACACGGCTCAACGAACACGGATTAATCATCAATCCTGCAAAGTGCCAGTTCGGGGTGTCGGACATCGATTTCCTGGGGCACCGCGTCACCAAGGGCGGTGCGACACCTCTGCCAGCGAAGGTGGAGGCTGTTGCGGCGTTTCCTCGCCCGCTCACAGCCCGGTCGCTCCGTGAGTTTCTGGGGATGGTGACTTTCTACCACCGTTTCATCGCCCGGGCCGCACACATCATGCGGCCGCTGTATGAAGCGTTGAAAGGCAAGACCCCCGTCCAGGAGATCAACTGGACAGCAGAGGCGGACGGCGCTTTTGCTGAGGTCAAGACCGCGTTGGCTCAGGCGGCTTTGCTGGCACACCCATCATCTACGGCTCCCATCTCCATCACCACGGACGCGTCAGACTACGCGGTCGGCGCAGTGCACGAGCAGTGGGTGGAGGGCGCTTGGCAGCCGCTCGCCTTTTTCAGCCGCCAGCTGACGCCTAGAGAACGTAAATACAGCGCCTTTGACCGGGAGCTCCTCGGACTTTATTTGGCCGTGCGGCACTTCCGTTTCATGCTGGAAGGCCGTGAATTTACGGTGTTTGTCGACCACAAGCCGCTCACCTTTGCCATGTCAAAAGTGGCGGAGCCTTGGTCGGCACGTCAGCAGCGGCAGCTGTCCTACATATCGGAGTTCACTACGGACATTAAGCACGTGGCTGGCAAGTCGAACCTGGTTGCTGATTGCCTCTCCAGGGTCGTCATCGGTGCCGTCCAGTTGGGCCTGGACTATACTCGCATGGCGGCAGACCAGGTCACAGATCCCGGCGTCCAGGCCCTGAAGGTGGAGAGCGCGGGGCTGCGCTTGGAGGACGTGGTGTTCGGCGACGCGGGCATTACTCTCCTGTGTGACGTCTCTACGGGCCTGGCGCGGCCTGTCGTCCCTGCCAGCTGGAGGCGTCCTGTGTTCGAGGCTGTGCACGGCCTGTCACACCCCGGCGTTAAACCTTCGGTCCGTTTGGTAGCGGCGAAGTTCGTTTGGCAAGGACTGAAAAGGGACGTGAGGACTTGGGCCAGGGAGTGCGTGGCTTGTCAACGCGCTAAGGTGCACCGCCACACGAAGGCCCCGTTGGAACGTTTCCTGGTGCCTGAGAGGAGGTTTGATCACGTCAACATTGACCTGGTTGGTCCGTTGCCTTCCTCTCAGGGGTTTTCCTACCTCCTCACCATGGTGGACAGGACGACCCGTTGGCCGGAGGCGGTTCCGCTCGTTTCGACATCAGCCGCAGACGTTGCCCGGGCCTTCATTGCAACGTGGGTGTGTCGTTTTGGCACCCCGTCAGACATTTCCTCAGACAGGGGCTCTCAGTTCACGTCCGAGCTCTGGAACGCTGTGGCAGGCGGTTTGGGGGTTAAGCTGCACAGGACTACCGCTTACCACCCTCAGGCTAACGGTCTCTGCGAGCGCTTTCATCGCTCCATGAAGGCGGCCCTCAAGGCCGGCCTTACGGACGGTAACTGGGTCGACAAGCTGCCCTGGGTGATGCTGGGCTTGAGGACCGCACCTAAGGAAGATCTGCAGTGTTCTACAGCGGAGATGGTCTACGGTCAGCCGCTGAGAGTTCCGGGGGATTTCCTCCCAAATGCATCGGCTCCCTGGTCGGCGTCGGCCCAGCGGGCTTTCCTGCGTGACGCCGCTGAGGCCTTTGTTCCGATCCCTACTACTCAGCACGGTACTCAGGTGTCCCAGGTTCCCGCAGAGCTCCGCTCGGCGGAGCACGTGTTCATCCGGCACGATGCGCACAGAGGCCCCCTGCAGCCCCCTTATGATGGGCCTTTCCGGGTCTTGGAGCACGGGGACAAGCACCTGGTGGTCGACCTGGGTGGCAAGGCCGAGCACGTCTCGGTGGACCGGGTGAAGGCTGCTCACCTGGACTTGGACCAGCCTGTGGTGCTGGCTCGACCTCCGCGACGGGGCCGCCCCCCGGCCTCGTCCCCTGTCACGGATTTAAGACCTGTTGTTCCGGTCCCTCCCCTTCCGGGGGCCGCACAGGCGGGAGTCACTTTTCCGACTCCCGTGCTCAGGAGTCGTGGGGGTCGGCGTGTCGTTCCTCCCCGCCATGCTGATTTTGTTTATGTGTGAATTCTGGGGGGGCTTGTGTGGTGACACGTTATTGGACATAATTCACCTTGCTTATTGTGTTGCCACACGGACCCTTTAGTGGGGAACACCTGTAGCTTTAGCTGCCATTCCTGCTAGCTCATCAGGCAGAGCAGTGCATGTGTTAACCTCTCTGAAAGGAATGGATAATAAAGATTGGAACTCCATTCTTAATACACCGCCTCCGACTCTCTTTTCACGGCACTACACTACCCTGTATAGGGTGCTGAGAGTGTCACTCAAGCATCCCCCGTCTCTCTGCCAATCACAGAGCTGCACAGTGATGCTGGTCGGGGTGCGGGCCTGTGGTTGGGGGAGCAGAGGGGGTAGGGTGGGGAAGTTGTGACGTTGACCCTGCTTTGTGTGTGTGAGTTAGGGAGTAGAGTAGTTCAGAGTGATGATGAACCTGCAACCTGTAACATGTAACCTGAGCTGTATACTATAACTGTAAGCGAATAAAGGAGTTGTTAAACCCAATCACTGAAGCCTGTGTCCAACTCCTCTTGTCGAACGTTACAGACATGATGAATTGGAAATGGGGGACCCTGATGTAAACAAGACGAAAGTCTTTCTCTGGTCTGCATCCCCTTAACAATTGTATGTTTTGAGCTGTACTGTACTGTACCCAATATACAACATGTTAATAAACTTTTCAATCAATCAATCAAACAGTATTTTACTTATAGGCTACGAGGTTTATCTTTTCAATACTGTTCAAGGGTGAGTTTTTCAAACAGACCAATGGCTGAATAGCATCAGTCGTAATTTCGACTCGGATAGGCTGAGAGGGCTTCTAGCTGTGACGCAACGACAATAATGTATCATGATTGGCTCAAGGCCCCTGACGTGTAAAGTAACTAAGATGCCCATTGGTCCATGGTAGTAGGTTAAACTGGGATTGTATTTTTGTTCCTGTGTCAACGAAAAGAAGAAAAGAAGAGTACCCAGTCAGACCCGGCTAAGTTTCATCAGAGATAGTTTGTTCACACATTACGGAAAGGTCTCCTTGTATCTGATAATAGCCCTACATCCAACGCTTTAGAAGATCTCCTTTTGAAGATGGTAAGTCTGCTAGCCGAGTGTATTGCTACGACCAATGCAAGTAGCTGCTAGCTTGATCCGACGTTTAGCCGTCGCCAGCCGTCGAGCTTTTCATTTTGGTTGTGTCTACTTGCTGGAGTCTATGACCTTAATTAGAAATCGTCATCTACATTTGCATAATGTAATAGATAAGCTGATTAAAGTACATAATGTATCATGCATTTCAAATAAACCGAGTGGCGTGTATATTAACGTGATCAGATACATGCTAGGCTAGTATCGCTAGCGGTACTGAAACACTAACGTAACGTAAAAGTTACCCTACGAGAGGAGAGTCTTTAACAGATGTACAATAACCCTACGATTATACAAATGTTCCGTGGCTCTACTGATTGTATAATTGCCAGATTGTATTATGTCAAACAAATGAAGTTATTTATAAACTTTGTTTTTAGGGTTATGGGATGCTTTAGTGGTGTAAGAGCTGTGTAGCTCAACCTTAACGTCTCAATGTCTTTATTGTTAGGAGTTGAAATAATTATTAATACATAAGGAAAAGCAAACGCATATAGATAAACCATTAACTCACCTACAAGCCCATCAATGTGTATGTTAACAGCTTAAAAAGCAAAATATTCTCAATAGATGGTCAATGTGACTAAGGCCAGTCGCATTTTATTAATCTTTGTCTAGGTTGTATTGATAAAAACACTGATATTGAACAATGTTTGTTGACGTTATTAAAAATGGCAGTGGTGTCGTTTTTGTCGATGTGTTAATAAGCTTAACAGATTGATCGTCAAATTAATTGACCAGTTTTTAAAAAATAGAAATGCAGGTGCAAAACAGTTGTCCTGTAATGGAAACAAGAGAACGATGAACTACTTTGTATAGTCTTGTTGATACGATGTAGGATACAAAATGCAACTCATAAGCAGTTCTAAATAACATTGACCGCCATTTAGCAGTAAAATAAAAACGAAAACTATTGGAATTCAATGTTCTCAACTCTTGAGAGTCTTGAGTTTACATAATGCACACTGGAGGTAACATAACCATCTTTCTGTCTCTGTCCAGAACTCCAATGTGGAGAATTTGCCTCCTCATATTCTTCGCTTGGTCTACAAAGAGGTTGCAGCGTTAGCAGCAGACCCCCCCGAGGGTATCAAGGTTTATCCCAGTGAGGAAGACATCACTGAGCTCCATACAGCCATCGAAGGACCAGGTAAGGATTGCAAAATTGTCGTACCAAACTGGCATCAGCCATATATATATGACAATAAATAAAATAAAAACAACTTTTGTATATGTGTTCACAAGGTAAGAAATGTTGCATTATTAGACATTAAACCGTCTTCAGCAGAGAGATATGTTGTCTGTATTGTCATTTATTAATTTCAAGCTCTCACTGCTGTGCTTTTCACATCTTAGTTTTTGGTTTGGATTTATTTCTGTTGTTTCTGTCCGTTTCAGATGTTTTCTTATGATATTATATGTCTGAAACCCTGGTCAAATTGAATTATTGAAAAGTCAATACTGAACATGTATTTTTACATTTTTATCAATTGCACCGGCTTACTATCTGGTTACAATCACATCATTCTCGATGAAGATACTTCAAAGGTCCACTTAAACAAGAGCTATGCCTCGTTCGGACAGACCATGAAAGATTTTCTGTTTTACGTAAGTTAACTCAGTTGCTGCTCCATGACCCTGTTTGTTGTTATGTAGCAAGTATCGCAGTCAAGACATACTGTTCATGAGATGAATTCTTTATGCTTTGACAGAGGGAACTCCGTTTGCTGGCGGCGTTTTCCGAATGCGTCTGGTCCTCGGGAAGGACTTCCCTGCGGTTCCACCCAAGGGGTATTTCCTGACCAAGATTTTTCACCCTAATGTGGGTCACAAGGGAGAGATCTGTGTCAACGTGTTGAAGAGGGACTGGAAGGCAGAGCTCGGCATCAGACACGTCTTGCTTGTAAGAGGAACCATCAGTCTTTGCAGTTCTGAGTGTTAGCTGCGCTGCTGTCACTGTTTTTACATTTCCATCTCCTTTATTTCCCCACAGACAATCAAGTGTCTTCTCATCCATCCGAATCCTGAGTCCGCTCTGAACGAAGAAGCTGGGCGTTTGCTGTTCGAGGACTATGCAGAATACGAGTCCCGCGCTCGTCTGCTCACAGAGATCCACGCCATGGGCCCTTCTGGGGCCCTTCAGGACCCTAACGACGGCCCCCAGCCAAAGAAGCACGCAGGTGACCCCATGAAGAGAGCTGGACCCAGCGCAGCACCGGTGCCAGCAACTCTGGGCAACGGAGCGAACGCAGCCAGTACCACCAGCAATAGCAACAGTAGCACTAATAACGTAGCAGGGAAAAAGAAAGCAGATAAAAAGAGGGCATTGAGGCGACTTTAATACCTCTGCAAAATTCTCAGTGTGTGTCTGTGTGTGTGTACGTGTGAGAGCGAGTGTGTGTAAATATAATTATTGAAGTTTGCTTACAAGGTTTTTGTTCCTTCTTTTTACCACCTATTAAGACTTTCTACTTTGTACTCATACCGTAGCTTCTGTTTTGCCTCCAGTTTGTCCTGTTGGCATAACAGCTTTGTTAATTATTTCCATACCGAATGATAACATATTTGTTACTCTTTTTAAAGGATATACAACTCCTTAACTGCGGAAATCATGCCATCCGTTATATTTTGCCCTCTGCCTTTTGTGAATGAATGAGACCTCTAAAGGCTGTCCAATGAGATCTACCCACTATTGTCTCTTTTTAAAGTGTTTCCTGGTAAATGCTGCTGTGATGGTACTGTGTACTGCACCGCCAGGCTTAACCAATATGTTGTTTTGAATAAAATGAACTTTTCAAATTGACATCAGTGGAAATAATGGTAGAAGTTGTTTGTTAACTCAAACATATTTTTAAATAGTATTTTTCATATTGCTATCTGGATGAAGTAAAAGTATATGGAAAGACTTGGCAGTGGAGTATAAGAAGTCTGTTAATGTGGTTCATGGAATCTCAACCACTTTTTTATGTTAATTTTTCTAAAATGGTTTTACTGTCTAGTATTTTCAAAGGTTGTTTATAATCGACATGTTCATTTTCAGCGGTCTTGTGGTTGTGTGTGAAGACCTAGATCAGTGGCTGTAAGAGAACAGGGTAGTTTGCCAGACTACTTTATAGAAAATTAAATATCTATTTGTATCATAAATACAGTAATGAGACTCACCCCTGCTCCCATACAAAGCAGTGTGTGTCTCAGGTGCCCAGCTCTCCAGCCATGTGGATACCTGAGGAGACATCTGTACGACAAAGTCCACGTTTGATAGATCTTTTCTCCCCACTTGTAGCACTGTTCGGGTTTTCTGGGTAGGTTTTCTTTCCACACTAAATGCATGCAGGGCTTACATTTCCCAAGGAAACACACTGAAGTGCACTGTCTTAATTTGGGTGGAAAATGTGCCTCTGAATCACCTGTCACTGCAGATTGTTGGCTGGATGTTTTGTGTCCATTTAAAATTATTTAAATTAATAAAACATTGAAATACAAGAAGTTAAATGAACAAAAGGAGTCCTCTTATTTTGGGTTCTTTGCCTGCATAATAATGTAATACCTTATCTGTTCTGCAATAGGTGAATGGATACGGCTCTTACTGCTCTGTGACGTACAAAAGCACTTTATTTAACAGATAGAAGTCTCCTGTTATGCAGTGATAGAATGAACAATCTGTAATTGCATCCACCCCAGCAAAGCAGTGAGTGAAAGTGCACCCGGTAGAGCGTCATTGGCCCATAATGAAGGGCTCCACCAGCCTCTATGCAGACGTGCAGCAGCCCATCCACCCACCTGTGTAGAAATAGCAGCCTGCAGGTAATTATCAGACCCTTCATAGACACCTGGGGATCCACATAGCTCTTACCAAAGCCTCGTCTTAGAAGCGTTTACCTCCTTCCCTAATCTCTATGTCTACCAATCCATGCTTGTCATTTTCCTTGCTGTTATAAAAAAAACCAACATATTTTAAATGTTCAATGATATGAATCTTCGGTCGGTGTTGTATAAGGGAATGCTTGCTGGCTTTCCTGCTTCACTACAGTGTAATGCTATTAATTATGATTCATCCTGTAGGCCCGCAATGTGTGATCACTAATTCAATTGATGTAACACACTCCTCAGTTTCAATCTGCAGAAAACCCAAAATCCGGTTTCATTCATGTGCTGAGGCTCGTGAGGAGGCAGTGACTGTGACGGTGGGATGAAGCCAAACAAATGCCAACTTCATCTCTGACACAGGACTGCATCACTGCGTGTCCTTCACTCCTACCTTCACGTTACTACATCTCCATGCGTCCTGCTCGTCTTTAACTTGAAGACATCTCTATGCACGTCCGGGTCTAATTGACAGTTTCGTTCACGCTCCAGTGTTACAGCTTTTGCGCCAATCCTCTCTCCTTCCCCGTTTTCATCGCTTTCATAATTGCCACCAACATAATGACACAGTTGCTGTGGCAACCATGTCTCTCTTTTTCTCTTTCTCTATCTCTCAGACACACATTACACACACACACACACACACACACACACACACACACACACACACACACACACACACACACACACACACACACACACACACACACACACACACACACACACACACACACACACACACACACACACACACACACACACAAAGAAAACACACTTTGGATCTCAGATTTCTTCTGTTGAAATTACCGACTGCTTTAATTGAATTATGTTAAGTTTTCCTCCACATTTTTAAAGCAATTGTTCCAACTCTGCGTTTTACTTTTATGATTATCTACGGAAGCTCATTTCCTGACATTATTTTTTTTCAGAGCATGTTTATAGCAGATTTTCAGAGTCAGTCAATTAAAAACAGATTAAATGGAGGGGAATAAAGATGCACGCCACCAGTTGAATGGGCCTAATGACCATCCGCGCGGAGCCTGATCAGTAGTTGTCTGATCGACCAATCACAGATCCCCCCCCCCCCCCCCCCCCCCCCCTCCCGGCAGACTAGTCGCAGTTAGGCGGTGTAACCTATCTCGCCTGGAAACTATGAAGGGAAACAGCTTCACTCGATCCTAGATGGAGAAAAGTTCAATTGGAGGATTTTTGTTTTATTTGGTGACGCCTTTCGTTATTTTGACCACCTGCATTTTGGCGTGTTTTCCGGGATAGTTGCACAATAACTTGTGCTGTAGGCTACAACAAACGGAATTTTCCAAGCCTGTAGTTTTATTGCCTTGTCACATGTCTCAGAACATCTCGTCGGGCTCTCACTCTCTCTCCTGCTCATGTTTTTTTTCTCCTTTTGCCAAGATATTGGATTACCAATAGCCTGATGAAGACACATCATAGAGAGATGCAGCACTGTTAAAAAAAACAACCTTTTAAACAGGTGGCAGATCCAGCAACAGTTCAAGCTGTCCTGATCATCCTGTGCAACAATAACAGGCTATACCATCAGAGAGACGCTGGGATACAGTGCGCAGGCTCTCAGCGCTATTCTACACCATCAAACCCCAGAGCAACGCACAGGTAAGACACGACATTATGCACCTTCTATTCATGCAACGCCAATTTACCGAATTACACGCACAACTGTTTGATAGCTTCATTGTGTGTTTCTGTCTGTATGAAACATTTAGTTTGGCTTGTGTTTAGACGCATCAGCTGGACACTGTCAAACAAAAAGATTTGGATGAAAGCTGCGCCACAGAAACATCTGTAGGCTTTGTGCTGGGCAGGCATCGTTTTCATCACTTAGACACTTTAATTGACTGCACATTGCGACATTATCATCATATTGTTATTTAGACCGACATATCCAACCGGACTACACACACACACGCACAAACACACGCACCGGCACGGATACACCCACGCACTCTTAGCCTCGTAATACATGCAAGTAATTTCCATAACCCGCATGCTTGTCGTTTGCAAGTTGCAATTTATTAACCGTACAAAGTAGGCTATATGGATTGTAATCTGAGTTGTTGTCCAAATGCAAAGTCACTGCGCAGCAGATATTTCACTGATAAGAAGGACTGAAGCTGCTCTCAGCTGTTTCCCCCGTAATTAATTGACCATTTGCATCAGCATGACTGGCATTTAGGTGTTTTTCGCTATTGATTTACAGCGTTTTTGCAACAGCGTCTCTTGAGAAAAAAAGGGGCCATTTTGTTTCATTTCCAACAAACACCTGTTGAAATTGTTGCATGCCCAGCCGTCTGCACAGCCGGCTTCATGCAATGGAAGTAAAGGGAGCCGTTTGGCTCATTTGCGTGGATAGAATTGCTTGCAGTGAAAGGAAACAGTGGAAATGTGTTTTTCTCCCTCCAGTGGCAGTGCAACCCAGGGATGCATCTTCACAGTTCTGAATGTGTTGCCCTTCACCCTTTAGTTCCCATGCTCACTCTATCTCCCTCTCTACTGCATTGCTTCAACAGCACAGCATAGAAAATGCCTACAGGATAACATTTGATATTTTTTCTACGTTAAGTCACTTTGCTGGACAGATGTTGTATCAGACTTAACAGTTTTGGATGCATTTTTTAAAATTCTTATCTTGAATTTCCGTTTGTTGTATTTGCACATATTCATCAGGGGAGTGGTTTGGACATATTGGCCAGAAAATCCTCATGTGAACGTATAGTCGGAGCACAAAATATGGTAATGGAAGTTTAGCGGCGAGGCATCAGGGTCATCTTGTTGAGCAAGAGACGGGCAGATGTGACTTTGAATTCTGGTTTGTCTAATGGGTGTAGATTGGATTCTGCCTCCCTTCTCTTTCACTGCCTCTTTCACTCACACACAGACAGAGCTGCAGTGCTATTCTGAGAGAGTTAGCTGCCTCAACCCACGCACAGAATCTGAGAAAGAGAGAAAAGGCAGAACGAAGGAGAAAAGAGGAGAAGGAGAGAGCAAGAGGAATAAAGGAGAGAGAAAGAGACTGCTACATTAGGTTTACAGAATGTACTACAGTCTCTCACATGCACACAAAGCCTTTTAACAGTTCACATGATCCCTCTTTAAATGTTCCAACAGCAGCTGATTTACAGTCTTCATCTGCACTCTTCTTGTGTGTGGCATTGACTGTATTTGCAGATCTGCTTGGCTGTGCTGTTTGTGTGATGTTCTATGTTGTATTGGTAAGTGCTGGGAGAAATGTACTTGATTCTGTGCCACCCACACACCGCCCTCCCACTCATGGTCGTCTCTGCATCTATACCTCTGGCTCTTCCCGCTCGCCACAATCTCTATGCTCATTTAAATCCCTACCCTGCATTTACCCCTCTGCTCTCGTTCTCCCTTTCTCCATCACTGGCTTTTCAGGAGCTCCCGCAACCAAACAGGCACACAAACACACACTCGGTACCTCACAATGCAATTATTAAAAATGACTGTTTTGTGTCAATAAGTGATGTCTCTGGGCTTCTTTCTAACCATGCCTCTCGTTTTGTGTTACAGCGGACACTCTGGCATTACAGGTTTATCGACGTGCAAACCTGAAGACAATTCTGGAAATCAAGCAGAACATTTAGAGAGGACGGAAAAACACTTTTGGAACATTAATCAGTGGGGGGAAGTGAGTCTTTGTTACTCGTTCTTCCTTTGCCGAACTCTCCTCAGAAGGTCAGAGGAGCATGTAACCGAAACAAGTGGAGCCCTCTGTGATTTCAGCATTCTGTCTCCCCCATCTGTGCCTACATTCGCCGCTACAGATAGGGACGTTTTTGATAATTACATGTAATTATAATTTCTGTGGGAGACAGATCTGCCTCTGTCTATTATTGCCAACACCTCCAACACAATAACTTCACACATTTACATATTTCTCAACAAAAGTGATATTCTTTGAAGACAAATCAGGAATAATTTTACTGAGAGAGACATGTCACATGGAGACAAAATGTGCCATTCAGTTCATATCTAATTAGTAAAACGGTTGAATGACACGGGTAACTTTTTGTGCCTAAAAGCTGAATAGGGAGCATTTAAAATCTGTGACGTTTGCCTCACTTTGCAATGTTTTTCACAGGCTGGGAGTCATTTTCTTGTTTTATGCTTATTCCTAAATTTTAGCTGCAACCGTCTTCTAGCACCTAAACTGAGCCTTCCTCATTATTCATCATCGGCCAAATCACAGTAACAGTCTGTGTGGATGCTCAATAATCCAATCATAGACAAGATTGAGATAAAGTACACATTGTATCTACAGATGTGATGAGTGCCTAGAACAAGATATCATGGAGAAAGGTCTGTGTCTCAGAAGAACTAAGCATCATTACTGGCCGTTTTCCGTCAGTGGTGCAGTCTGTTAATCTCATGATTGTTTACAAAATACATATTAAGAAATATAGATTTCATACATTTTTCAAGAAGGGAATTGCTTACAGCTTAAATAAGTGCCAATTCTGAATGTGCCAGACTGAAACAGTCGTCCAGGAATGAATAAAACAGGTACAATTGTTTACATTTGATAAAACACTGGCCATAGACCATAGTTCAAGTGCCATGGTCAGTAAGAATGTATAGGACTGCCATATTTTATTGAAAATCCTTGCTACTCCTTTTAACTGGCCTTTTTGGTTACAAATTAATTCCATCCAGCAGTACGTCAGAGACTTGTTCTTTTGTTCAGCGGGAAGTGTGGAACAAGGCATTAAGGACTAAAAGCATGAAGATTGTTGTTTTCAATCTGTCCTTTTTACAAAGCCGCATCCATTTTAGTCTTCTAGACTTGAAAGGACAAAAGATGAAGTCATTACGCATTCAGAGTTCCTTTCTAGCAGTAAATTAAAACCATTTTAATACCATTATCGACAATTACTAAAACCTACCAACTGTTTTTATAGTGGTAGACCTTTTCATTTGTATTTTTCCTGACCTTTTCTAATATTACTCCATATAAATAAGCAGTTTCTACATTTCAGTGTCTTTAAATTTCATCATCCAACATTACTGAATGAAACTACTGATACATCATAAATATTTAGTAGGTTGTACATGCTACTTGAATATTTCACATGCCATTTTAGTGGGTTAAACGGCAAAAGTGGATACTGCATTGACTCAACAACAGAAAATAGATCTCTTAGTCATGTAAAAATGACGCCCACCACCAATCTTCGAGTCCTCGCTGTCTCCCTGCTCTCCCTCCTCACCGCCCCTCTCACCACTGTTGTGGAGACCTCGCCGTCCCCCATTCCTCAGCAAATGGACCCCCCAGGGAGGCCTTTCACCGAGCAGCCAAAGACTAGCCGCGGCCCCCCTCTCCTGCTCCTCGCCATGCAGGCCAACATCAGGCCAGCTGCTCTTCAAGGCAGGACCAAAGCACCCGAGAAACTTCCAGAAGCCTCATTTCTCGAGGAGCTTCCGAGGCCCCTTCCCCAGGTCATGTTCCCCAAAAATGTGACTTCATCAAAGGCCCTTGCACCTCCCTTAGGCGCTGCCCAGGTAGCGCCCATACCACCCCGTTTGGTGGAGGTATGGATTGATGTATGTCGGGGTTATTATGACGTAATGGGACAAATTGACACCTCTTTCAATTGCTCCAAGGACTCGTTCATCTTTTGCTGTGGAACCTGCCACTACCGCTTCTGCTGCCCAGACCGAACCCGGCAACTGGATCAGGAAAGTTGTACAAACTATGACTCTCCAGACTGGGCCAAGCCACAGACAGACCCCATGATGTTGCCAGATGAATTAGGTCCCGACCCAGACTTTGATCCACTGAAGCAACAGAGCCACAACACAGGCTTCGTCATTGGAGGCGTGATCGTGTTCATGGTGGCTGTCGCCGTGGGAATCAAGGTGGTCTTCAACAAGGTTCAACAGGAAGCTAACCAACGGGACCTCAACATGCCCAGGTGAGGCTTTAAAAAAATGCTTTTCCATCAACTATCACTGCTGGATCTGTTACTTCATTCAACGTATGAATACTGTAATTTAGGTGTTCATGACTCCATAAATGGCCAAGATTAATCATTCTGGGCTCTGAATAATGTTGTTAGTCATCCGATGAAACATTTGATCTTCATCGAGTGGCTGCTGCAGAATTCATGGTTGTTTGGATCCCTCTGGGCTTTTTATCTCGTATAGGGCCTATGATCTTGGCAATAAAATATGCATTTTGATTTATGTACAGGTTGCAATTTTCTATCTTTGGCTTCAGTAGTGGAGGATGATGGTTGTAGACTCATATGGAGGATTCGGATTATTCCATAAAAAATGTAAACGATTAATACTGTTTTTTTCCCCTACTAATTCATTCACTGTTATCATTGTAAACAATTGTATAACAAACTAATTGGGGATTGTGAAAAAGACACAGTTAAAATACAGTAGCTATAGCCTACATATTTTTTTTAATCCTTATCAAGGTGTTTTCAAATAAAATTACCTATGTACACTTATCCTCACATGAATATGAGTAATCTGTTACCTACCAATATACTATCCAAATTAAAACCCTGTGAATAATATTGATAATGGCAAAATATTACGAAAATAGTCACAAAAGACTAAGCAAGTTTTCATAAATTCTATGTTAAATGTTCGTCAGCAGCCATTCGTTTATTTTCAGTTTAATCTCGTTTTCACTTTCTGCATGTGCAGGGTCGGCGTCATTGGGGTCATTCGCGGGCCATGCCCCCTCAAATGAGTCACTGTGTCCCCCCAACGCAGGGTGGGCAAGCCTTGCCACTTTGCCGTTTAAAAAAAAAAAAATCATATAAGTGAAAACGTTTCCACTAAAGGTTTTTTGTGTGAAATACATCAGAAATAAAGAATACAAATATAAAACACAGCCTGAGGTGTTCTCACTGCTGCTCTTGGTGTGTTGCTTGACCAATGACCCCCGACTTTTGTTTTGTTATCATTACGTGGCTGTGTGTTTAGATGAAAGCCCAGTGGCGATCTGTTCATCTGTTACACTGATTATACAGTAAAGCCATCGAAAATAAAATGATATACAGTACAGTACAAGTAGCCTACTTCTGGGTCTCTGTGTTTCATTCAAGCTCGGCTCTGTGTGTGTGTGGCACGAGCGCATTTTGTGAGTGCGCGAGCGGTAACGTGGAATGTTGTTGTTAGCATCTGGTTAGCTAGCTATGCTAACGGATATAAAGAGCTGTTTCTACACCAAGGTGGAGGAGAGTCCTCTCCTGTCAGACTGAGAGGATCGTATAACCTCAGCTCAGTGGGGTAAGGACTCTCTCAGTGTTTAGATAGTTCACTTTAGTGTAGGTTATCTCAGTGGGTCTCAAACGGTTTGGTCACCATTTATGTAAACAAGTATTTGCGAGGAACACCTTTATATGATCATTATAGTTATTAAAAAATAAGAGAATAAATGAAAAACGGGTATGAAATACTATAGGACAGTAACACAAGAATACCGTTTAAAAGGGGAGTTATTAGTAAAATATCCATAAAGAAAAAGTAAATCTGTGTACAGTTCTGTTTCATATGGATGCTGAGAGATGTAGGCTATCCATAGATCTCTTCATTTAGCTCTCAAAGTGCACCAGATTGATGCATTTAACTTCAATATTTTAAAAATAATCTTCCCGGAGGAGCATGCCCCCAGACCCTCCTAGAGGAGGTTAGGTCCACCCCCACCTAAAACATGTTCACATGGATAGGATACTAAATACATTTGCACACTTTTTATATGGTGGCCTATGTCCATATGTTTCTGTTTTGGTGGTCGTGCCACAACCGTGCATGTATGCACAAGTCATAGGTGCGCTATACAATAGCACTACACCCCTGCAATGTGTGTGAAATACACTTTACAGCATGTTTTTTTAAATTGAAGTTGCGTTGGTGTTTGTGTGTTGGTTGTTGACGGCAGTGTGTGCCCCCCCTTGGTAAATGATTGCCTCGCCATTCGATTTGTTCTAGAGCCGACCCTGTGCATGTGTTTATTTCATCATTAGAGCCCTGGTTGACATGCTGCGGCACCAATCGAGCCCTGTCCAGCAAGATGAGAGAAACAACAGTGTGGCTCTGGCTGTAGGTGACGGGACTGGGACACTGGGGAGACCTCCGAAAAATCTCTACGCCCCAGGACTGCCGAGCAAAGACAACAGATGTGAGTGTTTAGGTTTTATTTTTTTTACAGCGTTAGTGAATAGCACAATCAGAGCTTTTGTAACTGCATCCTCTGAGTGCCGAGGCACAGCGTGTTTGTCACGTCTGCATGTGAACGCAGGTCGTTTTCTGTGTCCCATAATCAAGATATCTTTATATCCATTGGGCATTATATAAAAAAAGAAAAGGAATCTGAAGAGTAATGCTCTTAAAATACATATGCTTTACATGATGATGTGGGGACACTCTGTGCATGAGAGATGATGTGAAGGTGAATATATGCAGATACAAAATGTCTATAGTTGCCTTGATCCTTTTATGTTAAAGGACAATTGAACTGGAAACTGCCTGACATCCATTTTGAGATGATTACCTTATGTTCTTTTGATTTGCAGTGGGAAATATTCAGCACAATTTCATCCATACTTCAGGCACCAGCCCCAAGCACACTGCGACTATCGGTAAGCAGCTGGTGAAAGCTAGGCTCCCATGTAAATTACATGCAATCACCATAATGCTTAATTTACCTTGTTCTGTTTAATTTAAGCTCAAAAGAACTCTCATTCATCCCAACAATGATAATGATTGTCGGAGCTTTGGTTCCTTGTGTTGAGCTATGTTAAATTCTGACTGTCTGAATGTGCGCAGATTCATACACAGCTACGTGTGGCGCGCTATCTCCAGAGGAGAAAATCTCATTTAACACGCTGTCGTTTTCTCCCCCTGTGGTCTGTGTAGAACGCACCCCCCGGATGAACAATGCTCAGCTGGCAGCTGGAGGCACCCTGCTTTCCAGTAAACACAACAACACCAAATCCCAGCCGGCCTTCCACCACTCCCTGCACAACCTTGCTCAGCTGCCGCCCTCCTACGAGAGTGCCACCAAGCCTGAGCTCAACCGATACTCCTCACTCAAACGCCTCGGTAAGTACCTTCATTTTCAAGAAATTAGGACAAATGTACCTGCTGTCTGCCCGTGTCTCCCCGTAAGTACTGCAGCACGGTGACACTCTTGACACTTTGGCACAAAGGGCAAGACGTGTCATAATGTGCTGATGCTATTGACTGTGTTGATAAACAACATTCAGAGACATTTTGTTTGGCTTGCAGAGAAAGGTCTTGATGAGTACTCGTCTGGTTACTGCACCACCAAGCGCCGGCCCCACACCGCCCAGCCGGCCCTCCAGTCCTCCCAGCACCACCTCCACTGGGGTGGAGACTACACCCTGAGTGGGAGAGGAACCCTTCCCCGGCACGCAGTCCGTCCCTGGATCCCGCCTCCGCCTTCTGGCATGCCTGCTTCACCCACACCCAATCCTTACCCTCTGGATCCCCCGGAGCCCCAGTACAACCCCAACTACGAAACTCTCTCCAAGCCCAGGAAAGTTAAACCCAATGACCAGCTGCTCAACATGGGGGACGTCCCAGGTAACACAGGGACACTGTCCAGGATGTCCAAGAACCAGCAACACCAGTACTACAAAGCCATGGTTGCCTCCAACAAGAACACCAACACGCAGACGCTCACCAGGCAGGGGAGAGATGGGAGAGATGGGAGGCAGGAGAGAGATGGGAGGCAGGAGAGAGATGTGAGAGATGTGAGAGATGTGAGAGATGTGAGAGATGTGAGAGATGTGAGAGATGTGAGAGATGTGAGAGATGGGAGAGATGTGAGAGATGTGAGAGATGTGAGAGATGGGAGAGATGGGAGAGATGTGAGAGATGGGAGGCAGGAGAGAGATGGGAGGCAGGAGAGAGATGGGAGAGATGGGAGGCAGGAGAGAGATGGAAGGCAAGAGAGAGATGGGAGGCAGGAGAGAGATGGGAGGCAGGAGAGAGATGGGAGGCAAGAGAGAGATGGGAGGCAAGAAAGAGATGGGAGGCAGGAGAGAGAGGAACGGCTGCTCATGTCCCCGGACCATTTGGAGGAAAGGATGGGGGTCGGTGGGATGGGGGTCGTAGATCCGTACGCCCACACGGGAGGGGCCGTCCCCACGCTGCCCCGCCAGCAGAAGGCCCAGTCCCAGCAGAACGTCTGCGCCACGCCCTCCCTCGACCGACACCACATGATCAAGATGAACTCTCACCCCACGTCCGGACGCGAGCAGGAGAGGAACACGCCCATGACGGGGCACATGAGCGCAAACATGGGCTGGCAGGGGGAGGGGCCCGGGGCGGGGGTAGTCATGGGAACGGGAACACTAGGGGGCCACAGTGCCAGGAGGATGGCTTTCGCAGCAAAAAGGCAAAACACCATTGAGCAGCTAAATTTCATACCAGGAGGGGGTGGCGGGGGGTCGTCGGGGAGTGCAGGAGGGAGTCAGGGGATCAGGACGGGGAGCAAAAACGAGGTGACGGTGTGAGGTTTGTGCCTAATGTAGAGTTTACCCCTCATCAAAGGGATGGGAGTAGATCACCCTTCTGCATTTAACTATTAGATATATAACTACAAGAACTAGAAGTATAAAATATAGTAACATTAGAATGTGTTTAGGCTATTCAAATTAGTGTAATCTAGTAATTCAATAGCTTAAATATGATTAATCGGTTAAAAATCTAGGTGGGGAATATCTGTAACAATTATGTGATAGCCTACGTCAGCCATATTTTGTAACAAAGTTTGCCATATACAGCGGTGCCATTACTTGTAGAAAGACTAAAAAGGGTGAAACAAAACCAACCGAAGTGTCGTTCATAATTTTGTTTTTATATGTTTTTCAAAAGTACTCAGGAGCCATATTAGATAGGGAACAAGAGGATATATATATATATAGAGATAGAAGAGGTCGCTGCAGAGGAGGAGCATGTAGAGTATTGTATCACAGAATTTAACAGAGAATTGAGCCAACTACCTGCTGGACTGTCAACCTGCTCAGCTCTCGCCAACATTGATTGATTAAACTGAACCTCATGGGTGAGCAGCCCGGTGGACCAGAGGAGCGGGAGTGAACCATGTGCCTGGAGAGGGATTTTGGAGATCTGATACTCAACCTCATCCTGACACAGGGAGACAAAACTTTGTGTTGCTTCCTTTGATGACGAGCGGCCGAGGTGGGAGCTGTTTGCGACTTGGACACAGCAGCCTGTTGGCAGGACTCCGCACCTGATTTTAAAAGCGCGGACGTACCCACATCACCAATCTGACGCCTGGGTTGCCTAGTTTTCCATGTTACCTTAGATCCAATTCCAGAGAGACACACTCTGGTCACTGTTACACTGCAGTAAGCTGACGTTAGATAACGTTATGGGTGATTTCCCCCCCTAACGTTCCCATCTATAGATCAGGACCTAACTGTAAGAACATTGGGCTACCAAATAAAATAGAGCCATCTGTCATGTTATTACAAAAATATCTTGACAAAAACATAGACGAGCCAGGAGACGCATGTGTTCAGTTTACCAATAAAGAGGCAACTTGCTTTAATTGCAGGTTGTGAACGAAGAGCAAAGGTTTTTCTACAGAGCACAAATGAATAGACCGTGACGCAGAGGTTGCACTTACACAACTGTCCTTCAAAGCCATTTACGGAGATACAAAGAAAATACCACAGAGGAAGCTGGTCTGACAATCACCATTTTATTATTCTCACCAGGTGACAAATTACAAAAGGCAGATATTTTGTACAGTCAAAGGATTGGCTTCAGAGCAAGCCAAAAAAAAACTCTGAGTCAGGAGAGAGAGGGCGACCTGAGGCCTTCTCCTGCATGGCTCATATGCCGTAAGAGACTCGGATGATTAGGAAGCCCTCCCCTTCCTCAAGAGGAAGACCTTGCTGTATCATAACGCACTTCAGCCAGTATGAGTAAAAAAAAAAGAAAAGAAAAAAAAGAAAAGAGAAAAAAAAATGTTCATCAATAACAACGCTTATCAATACTAAGGGCTATCCTATCCTATATACTGTAGTATGTGATATCTGTGGTCCATATAAAATACTATCTCTTTCTCTTGATTTTGTGTTGATATTGTCATGTTGTATTAAGTATTAATGTGTACAAAAAACAAGAGCAATTTAAGCACAGTTCAAAGAGAAGCACAGAGACACAAATCTATCCCAATATTTGCACCTGATACAGACTTACTCTGTATCGTGTCCTCAAAGTTTACAATCTGTTCAAGCACGGCTGACAGTGGGACTGATCAATGGAGGGTATTGTATTGAGAGAGGATTTTTTGTATCAACATGAAATCAGAGATCATTTTGGCAGATCTAAGAATGAACTTGTTACTGCTTGATTTTTGTTCAGTCATATGGAAGGATACAGATATCAAATACTGACAAACAGAAACACAGATTTCATTTGGACAATCTTCCTATACACAGTGCTAAATGTAGTTGTTATGAATATGATGGAGTGTTATTATTAATAATTATTATAACTGTTATGGTTATTATTAACAATTATCTTATGATGTGATGTTCTTTTACTTGGTGGGATTTAAGTGTTTATTGTTTTTAGATAACTAGAATTCTCATGACTAGTTTTTTTTTTTTCATGGTCATAAACTCAAGTTTTTAAAAACATTCCAAATCTTGATGCATGCCAGCTCCATTTCATTGAGAGGCAGTTACAGAATGCCTGGATTTTAAGGTCATCAATGCTTTTATGGCCACTTTCTCCAGCTGTATGTACGTACTGTGCCTAGACATCGGCCTTATGACTTCTTGATCTCAAGTGAAATTAGGTTTCCACTCGGGTATTCAAAATATCTATTGAAAAAATCTGCAGCCTTCTAAACGTATGTGTAGACGACGGTGTCTTAACAGCCAGTGAGGGATAGGTGTGTTCGGGACAGGGACAGACGTTTATTATCCAGACTGGAGGCGGTCTGCTGTCTCCACTACAGATGACCCCATAACATTGTGGATTGTACACACTGAAACCCATGATGCCATAATGTATGTGTGTTCGGATGAATGTTTATTACACAGGTTGGAGAGAAACGGAGCTCTGATGGAAACCTGAATGCTTTGAGTGTCTTTTTTCAGGGAAATAGGACAGTTGACATACAGTAGTATTAGATTTTTTTAATAGAGCCACAAAAGGTCTGTAGCAAAGTCTGTAAAATCTCACAAGCCATATCCATTGAAACTCATCATTCACAATTTTATAAATGGTTAATCTAATTTGTGCAAGTATTGTATTTTGTATAGCTAGTACAATCAGAATATTTTGAGTGATCTCTTCGACATTAATTTAAGGGTTCAAAAAATTATGTGTTAGTAGTTAATGAATTGTACAGTGCCAAACTCATAACATTTTGTTGTCTTTCTATTGCCATAGCTTCCTACAACACTAAAGGGGTTATTTATTTTTCCCATCTGAGAACTAACGCACAGGCAAGTTAGCCAAAAGAGCTAGTTATTAGAAATAAATTAATGAATATTGTGTGTGTTTTTACCATTATGAATTAATTTTAGAGGGAGGATGGTTAATGGCCACAAGAAATGTAAAGCATTGCGAACAGTAAATTGTATGGACAGGGACTGTGTCCAGTATATCCGGTAATTCACGGATTTATTTTCATGACTATACATTTCAAAACTACCCTTTTGTTATTGTTCAATGCATTGATCCCCTTGGATACGACAGTGACTTACAAATAATTTGTATAATAAAGTTGGTGGAAAAAACGTTTTGTCTTTTATTATAGAGTTTGGGTTTCTTGCACTATGCATATAATACATTTTATTATTGTTATTAAATATTTTAGCTCCAATCCATTTTTGTTTACCTGATATATGAATGGTCACTAATTACACTTCTTTGGTACTTTCTCATTGCTTATTAATATAACCAAACCATGCCACTGTCATTCAATAGTGTTGGTAAATTAAATATTATTGTCTTGGTATGTGATATTTCTAAGATACTCCTCAACCATTAAGGCTTTTAAATTATTTTCTTGAAAATATAACCTGGGCTGTATGAATTAAAATGATGACTTACTGAGAGAAAGATTGCACATTACATTTCTCAGGAGGGGATCTCCAAGTTCCTGGTTGCTTAACAATATCCTTCAAAGATTAAACAATATATTAATTTTCAGAAAGACGTCTAAGTTGATTGTTCACAGAAATATAGTACAGGACTTCCTATTTTATGTGCAAGTAAGTGAAATTATGAGAATCCTTTTGAAAAAAACACAATACCTGATAAACAACTTCTCTCTTGGTGCAGAAAATCTCTTCCCTGGAAAGTATTTAGTTGACAGGCACATTTTCAGTGGTGGTATTATTTGAATCCTCATATAAAAGCAAGTTATAGTTAGGATAAAGCTGTTTCTGCACAAAACTCCATCTTACTTGACATTTGCACACCACACCACACCATTCAATGAGTGGAATGCTCAGAGGAAATATACTGGGAAATTGAGATTCATAATAATCACAAGATGAATACATGTTTTATAATGGGTCGAAGACACAGTAGCTCTATACTGACAAAAAGTCCTCTTGGCTTCAGTACGTTAGTGGACACAGAGAGTGGCGATAAAATCCCACATCACCATGGTCTCAGATATTGTATAAGCCACATTAAGGCTATACAGTGCCGGTGGGAGAGGACAATGGTGCTATTAAATGAAATGAAAAGGCGAAATATGTCTTCATATATTTCTCAACTCGAGACCATCTGATGGCAGAGTTATATCATACTGTACCTGCTGGATCCGCAGAGTGATGGGAGGGCTGTGGAGCTCATATTTAAAACCTCCTGTGAATACTTTTATTGCACTGAAATTCATGAAGGCTTAAATAAAGGAGCAGACAATGGCATTGCTCTGATACAGAAATAATGTGTACAGGAGGTAAACAAAGGGCACAAAATATATTGTGTTTGATTTAGGCACTGGCTGCCACTGATGCATTACAGCCATTGTAATTTGCACATTTCACCACCAGGAGGTTCAGTGCACCTCTCTGCTCTGAGACAAAATGAAGCCCTCACTCAAAATGTCATAGCTCAAAAGATAAACCCCACTGTCCATCACCTGGTATCTTTCATAATAATACATATTTTCTAGGTCACTGTTCACGAAATAAGCTCAGTTTATGTAAATGACTGGTTCTGAGGAAGACTTAAGATGTTCTATTAAAAACAAATGAATATTCCAAATGCAAATGTATGTGTTAGTCAAGGCTTTAGGGCCGTAAATGGTCCTGAGTAAAAAGATCCACATGCTCTGTGCACACCATTAGTATTCGGCTTGATGACAACCATAAATATCAGCGAGGACCGCTGAAATTATTCAGTGGTGAGAAAAAGGATGGAAGCAACTCTAACAAAATCAAGAGCAATGAAGATGGCAAAGAGTGGGGATTTTCTGTCAAGTTAGGCAGTGGATGGAGAAAATACTCGTTACAATAGACTTAATGTTTGAGAAGAACATTTTTAAATAATTTAAAACCCTATGAAATACATTTGGTTTATGCTCCAAAGAGTTTTGTAGATATTTACATTTAGGGAAACTACAAAATGTCACTTAGGGTATGGAACAACCTTAAATAATAAAACATTTTAAATAAGTAATATATAAGACGATGGTAAAAAATGAATGACACAAATGTATAAATGTATACAATCACACGATCAGGACTCCTATAATTATTTATTTAAGAGGACCAAAGTCATAACATAAAGTGTTCAAAACCAACATATGTGTTTATTAGTATTTGTTGTTGTTTTTATGATTTATCTTTTAATTTTTGTTTATCATGATGTAATGATTTATACTTTTACAATTGTAGGCCAGACTGTGTAGGTTGTTTTCATTATTTATTTCCTGAAAAAAGTGCTGTGTTTATAAGTTTAATGTACTAATTAAGACAATAGTCGAGGAAGTATTCAGATCCTTTACTTAAGTAAAAGTAATAATACCAAAAGTCCTGCAATGAGCAAAAGTATTCAGAAAAATGTTAAGTATTGAGGTTAAAGTACTCCGTGCAGAAGATGTCCTTACAAAAGAGTCCTTATGTAGTGCTTTAGTATAGCCCATGGGCATGAATGGTTACATTGCACCTCTAAATGTTGTACTAAATATTGTACAATTCAAAGTAGCCAAAAGGCTTTTGCCTCCGTTTAACCATTATTATATGGGTAATAAATAACTAAACCAAGGAAACATAATTATGTGTTACACCAAATGCTACTTTCTTTTCACCTAATGCTATGTATTTATTAATTATAGCCAAGTGTAATATTCTCGTCTATAATAGGCCTATATAAACAACAGCCGTTATGCAAACAGGGGGGAAAGTCCTAAACCTCCAGATGGGACTTGTTGACTTTGGATACATTTGGAAACAGTGTTGTAGCAGTGGAAATGGACACTGATGTATTTGTAGCATTTGTGGAAGAGGAGTCGCTTTTTTTTGTAACCGACGGTGCAGCCGCCCGTGAGCCCCGCTGGTGCTACCCGGAAATATTACAAGGGCCGGAAAGGACCGATGTTAAGGGAGCACACGTCACTCACTTTTACCCAAAAATATTACCACCGACCATCCAAAATTGTCTCGACCGTCGAATTTTTTTATCTGAAGCTCCCTGTCGACGCAGACCGGTGGTAATGAAGTGAATAGACGGCGGCTGCGGTATCCTATGGCGTTGGTTTCTTCTGGGAACCGTGTAAGTGTTGACTCAGCTCAGCATCAGTGAAAATGGCTCTCGCTAAAGCCTGGAAAACAGCACGCAGAAATGGTAGCAGGTGATAGCTAGTCGGTTAGAAGAAGGCGTGACAGGCCTCAACCATCTGCAACTGTGCTCTGGATGCGTAGGTAAACATTTGCCGAATATAGGTTACGCATATGTATAAGCTAACGTTAGCATCGAAATGACAACGGTAGTCTGCATGCTTTTAATGGTGCGGTGTGGAAAGATGGCTAACGTTAGCTGCAGCGGCTGGGTGGTTTTCTAGATTGCGTGTGGCTGCAAATGGCTAAACACGCCGAGCCATTGTACAATATGTTGCTGGAGAACCGTGAAGTTTTGCATGCAAGCGCGTCCAATGTTTTCCTTATTTTTTTCTTCGAAATGTTAGCCAATACTATTACAGGATGCCTCCTCAAAGTGCATCCGTTATGTCTTGCGCCTGTAAGACTCAGCAAATGTTTACATAGTGCAGCGGTGTGTTACAGTGATGTTCATTTGAAGCATTTCTGCCTTTCTTCACAGGATTGGTGATTTACATTAAAATGAGAGGCAGCCAAACATGCGATAGATTACCTCCCTCATCTACCAGGGGAGCGCTTGCCCCCCACCAGGTTCATCGCATCGATTAGAGGAAACGGTAAGATATAACGAGGTGAGCAACACGATTCAGTGAGTGGTTTAAATGTAGCCAGACTACTTTCAGCCTGTTCACAAGTAGAGTAGTAATGGTACATTTTAATACAAACCCAAACGTACTGTTATGCCGGTAAAGACAAATGCATAATGCCACAGTTAGATTTTCTTTTCAGTTTTGTTGTCTAATAAGACGTGTATCTAAAGTGGATTAATTCAATTGAAATGTAAACATCTTAAATATGTTTGGTTAAATTATATTTATAATTTAATGTTGATGTCATTGCACATAGAGATAAGAAATTCAATGAAACAATATGTTTAGTATAATTAAGTGGCCTAGACATGTACATACAAATGAATCATTATACAGAATGAAATATAATTTGGACCATTTGCATTAGAAATTGATGCAATCTTAACAGGCCAGTCACCCTTTAAGGTATTACACAGAACAGATGCTTTGTAATGACCACTCAGGCTATTGAGCGCTATTCCTTTAGTAAGAAAATACTATAATTAGAAAATACTGAGACTGAGCTAAATCTTTGTTGGCCTTTGTCACAGTTTAATAATAAGTAAACAAAAACAAAAATTAAAAAAGTCAATCATTTACATTATGGTTAGTATGGGGTTTACATTTAATTGTCTGTTATTACAAAATGTGGACCAGAAAAAACGTAAGTGTGGGTAAAACATAAATAATCAGTTATGTACAAGCGCCTTCATTTTACAAAAGAACGGCATCTGCTATGCAATGTGTTTTTTCATGAAACATTGCTACACCTCTCTTTACTCAATAAACACTTGGTACATGCCGATAGCCACATTTACTGTACAGATTACAGTGTGAGATACTGTACATGACAGAAGTGCTTCAACATATAAGCATTAAAGGGATATGTAAGTGTGAGTATAATTGGGGGATACTTCTAAAGTAGCTTTTTTCCACTAACCTATATGGCGCAGGCCTACTATTATAAACAACTATATGCATAGACAGTAAGAATAATAAAGGTAACTTTAAATTTATATATTTCTTAACATATTGAATAGTCTGGAAAAGTAGAAACATCTGTAGAGAGATACCCTAAATTGTTGAGTTTTGCTGTCTTCACCCTTCAAAAACAGAACAGTAGCAGGGCAGCTATGAACCTTTGAAACTTTATGTAACATAAAATAATGTTGTGGTATCATGTATAGTGTGTATGAAGGTCAAATGAAACCTTGTGGACTGTACTGGATAAATACAAGTCATAATGTCACCTAATGATACATTTGAATGTTTTGTAATGTTGACGTGCAGACTTAGGTTTCTTTCTATTTAGATTTACCTTATTGGATGGTGCACCTTGTTATAGATATAAGTACAGTCCTGTTCCCCTCTATGACTTTCATCCCTTTGTGAATTTCTTCCAGCTGTAGGAACATCTTGGCTGAACAAGGATGAGGAGCCTTGCTTAGATGAAGGATAATGTCAACGCAGTTACTCTCAAAGGAAACAAGAAGTCATTTCTTCTGCTTCTCAATAAAAATCACATTTTTAGCATTTTTTTTAATTAGATGGAACTCATCTACTTGTCTTAAAGACACTTTTACCCTTTAATCATAAACTCATCTTCCCGGCCACCCCACTCATTTTGGAAAAAGAGTGTGGGCATTGGATTATCAACAGGGAGCACCAGAAGTTAACTATCTGGAGGGACGAACTTGGTATTTAAGACATTCAAGTAGTTCTGGGAAATAAAGTAGAATAACCTCACGCTAAAGTTTATCTTTCACCAGTCACTGGTGGGATCATTGTTTTTTCGCTCCTAGCGCTGGAGGTTTGGCGCCTGCACCCCCATGTGCCAGTGAGTGGGAAATGTTCCAATTTGGAAAGTACAATCTGGACATTATAGAGATGTTAAGTGGGCACCAGGCCCACCAGTTTAAAGGCCTTGGTTTAGATCGACAACTACAGCATCAACAGCAAGTGCAACTTCACCAGCATCAACTCCAGCAGCAGCAGCAACAACAGGCTGAATCTTCTGGAGCTCTTCTGTCTGGACTTGGCTTGGGACCCCTGCAGGGGTCAAGAGGTAACGCCTTTTCTGATTCTGCCTCCATTTTTGCCAAGATGAGTGCCCCTCCTCCCCCACCTTTACAACAACAGCCTTCCTCATCTCAGAGCTCTCGTTCAAAGTCAAGCAAGATGAGCAGCAGCAGCTCAAGCCATTCGTCAGGCTACCCACAGTTCCTGCGCTCTTTCCACCCGTCTGAGGCAGCACTAGCACAGGAGCAGTTACATCCAGGTGTAGGCCGTTTCGAGCACTTTGCTGGGGCAAGTAGCAGTAGTGGGAGTGCTGGGGGTTTAGGAGGATTAATAACATCAGCACCTCCACCCCCTCCTCCTTTGCATCCCGGCCTCTCTGTCCCCCAAGCATCATCTGGTCCTTCCTCTTCCTCTCCTTCCCCTTCAACATCTGTGGCCACCTCTAATAACCCTTCTAGCAGCAGTACAGTCAGCTCTTTGGGACACCAGTTGGTTGGGGCCCAGTCTGATGCACGAAGCCTTCACCAACAGTTTAGTTGCATGTTAGCTGCTAATCAGTATTTCCTTTCTGGGGTGCCTTCTAATGCTAGTTTAGAGCAATTTCTTGTTCAACAGGGAACGCATAACCACTTGGGGCTTAGTTTGAGTCATACAGGCGGGGACCCTAGTCTTGCTCCGCCTCCTGCTTTGCATTCTTCTCACTCACATGGCCACTCCACTTCCCAGCCACAGCAGGCTCCACATCAGCCCCCTCAGCAGCAACAGCTTCCACCTCACACTCTTTCTCATCCTCACTCTCATTCCCATCCTCACCACCCACTCCACCCAGGCTCTCATTCTTCATCACTGAGTGGCTTCGACTTCCAGGGCATCCCTGTTCTCTCATCAAATCAGTTAGCCTCTCTGATGCAGCAGGAAGCAGGTTTGCCTCTCCCCTTGCCCCTTCATTTATCCTTATCTAAAGATGACGGTAAAGGTGAAAGTAGTGGAGGTGGAAGTAGTAGTAGTAGTGGTGGCAGTAGCAGTAGGAGAAAGAAAGCTATGGCCGGCTATTTGCCGCAGAGAAAATCTGATAGTGCTAGTAATAGCAGCAGTGGTCATGGCCATGTCAGCCACAGTGGTAATCTCACCACTAGCAGTCATGGTCAGCCCCCGGCTTTAATTGGTAGTGGGGTTGGTATGTCAAGTATGGGTGGAGACCCATCATCCCTTCTAGCCTCATCATCTTCATCCTCATCAGTAGTTTCTTCCTCCTCCTCCTCTGCTCCCTCTTCCACTGCTGCCTCAGTACTGGTTACTAATAATTCTCACCTTTCTAAATCTGATCTGAGCTCAATGCAACCCAACAACTCAGAGTCTGATGTAGAGCCTGTTTATAGCTGTGGAGAGTGTTGCAAAAGCTTTCCTCACCTTTCAAGCCTTCGCAGACATTTGCGCATGCATGAGCCAACTACAGCAGGTACTAGCAATGCTTCCTCTACTGGCCCAAACCCCATTCATATTAAACCACAGGCTGACCCAAGCCTTCCCCATTCTACCCAAGAAACCCCCCAAACCCCGCAAACCCCGCAAACCCCGCAAACCCCAACAATTTCTTGTCCTAGCCCAGACAAAATATTTAACTGTCCTGACTGTGGCAAAGGCTTTAAGAAAAAAGGGCACCTCCTGCAACATGGAGTTTTACACTCTTCAACGCGCCCATATGGCTGCTCCACCTGCTCTCGGGCTTTTAATCGTAGAGAATCATTGACACGCCATGAGAAGATACATGAGGAAAAGCCTTTCCGATGTCCCGCCTGTGGTCGTGCCTTCCGTGAGAGCACCTCTCTACTGAACCATGCTGCCTCAGGCACCTGCGGCAAGCCAGGTAGGGGACCCAAACAAAGGGGGAGCAAGACAGAAACTGAGGGTGAGGACAGAGTCGGGGGAGGGGGTAATGGAGGAGTGGGAACTTATCACAGCAATAGAGGTGTTATTTATGGGAAAACTGAGGAAGACGATGGTGTAATCATTGTGGGGGAAGGAGAACCAAAATCAGGTTTAGGATGTGATGGTCTTTTTCAGTCTGCAAGGGGAGGGAATTCAAATGACAGGGACAGAACAGATGCTAAATACCCCACTGACTACTCTCGGAATCGTTACACAGGCTACCATGATGACCATCGTTCTCAGGGGAATCCATCTCCATGCTACTCTGGTGCCTCCCCCTGTGGAAGTGGGATGGCGGGCCCAGCTCTGAGAAAGGCACCATTGGCTCCAACACTGCATCCACACTCACAGAGCCACAACCAGCACCACCAACAGCAGCAACAGCCCCACCTGCCCCTTTCTTCTCTACTGGATGACTCAGAGGATGATGTCACTAGCTCTGTCAATAATGCAATCTCCGCAATAACGGCAGCTAGTAACAGTGGAAATAGAGGGGACGATAGGGGAGACATCATAGGAGGTCTTCTAGGTGGTCTTGGTTTAGGACCTCTTGGCTCACCTTCATCTACATCTGGTTTGGATAAGAATTTCAGAGGTGGTGGGAGCCAGGATGCCATGAGCAGCAACCAACAGAATCTTGCCGCCAAACCAAAACGTCCACGCAAACCGAGAGCTAAAAAAGATCCTGCAGCTCCTGGACAACCCCCCAAACGTAGGCAATACACCCCAAGAATGGGGCCCAGTGGCCTCCCACCCACCCACCTCTGCAGTGTTTGTGGCAAGGGTTTTGCACGTCGCGAGACCCTGCGCAGGCATGACCGCATCCATACTGGAGAAAAGCCCCATCACTGCACTGTTTGTGGAAAGTATTTTAGAGAGGCTTTTCACCTCAGCAAGCATCAAACAGTCCACTCTGGGGCAAAAAATTACAAATGCAGCATCTGTGGGAAAGAGTTTGGTTACTCCCAGAGCCTCAGGAGGCACAGCAAACTCCATAAGAAGGGAGAGCTGGAAGAGGTACCCACAACACCAGCTGCGGAGAACCTCAACAGCTTTAACCCAAACCCTCAATGTAGCGTTGCCCAAGACAGGAGCCAGAACCAAGCTCCAAGCACCTCCACCTATTACTCCTACCCTCAAGACGTCAAACCTCAAGACACCAACCCCCAGACACAGCCTCCACCGCATCCACAGAGCCAACCTCCGCCTCGACTCTACACCTGTGCTATATGTTGGAAGTCTTTCCGCCACCACTTCCATTTGACTGCTCATCACCAGACGGTTCATGAAGGTGGGGGTGAAAAGTTATTCTGCTGTGAAGTATGTGGGAAAGCATTTGCTTACGCTAACAGCCTCACCCGACATAGGCAGTCACAGCATGGGATAACCCGCTCTGAAGCACCTAACTCACAAGAAGGCAGCAGTGGGTCTGTAGACAACAGAGGTGTGAGTGATGTTAATCAGTCAACATCAGAGAGTGAGGCTGCTACCAATACCCTGCTACAGATGGCTCCTTCCTCTGAAGGCCATGGAGGGCAGGGTCTTAGTGTCGTCACTCATAGCCATCAACAGCCACCCCAGCAACCACCATCTGGTTACTCTCCCCTCTTCTATGATGCTGCAGCCCAATCCTCAGCCTCTGGTGCTCCCTCTTACTCACAGCCTCTGCCTCCAAACTCTACAATCATGGCCCCTCAGCACCCGCATTCCCCAGCCGGGGTAAAAGGAGAGCACATATATCCAGCTGGATCCCGTAGCCGTACGCTCCACACCACAGCCCCATTCCAGCCCCTCACCGATCTGCCCTCCACTGAACATCATCATCTGCATCATCATCATCATATCTCCCCCCACCATCATCTTCATCCTCAGTCAGGTTCCCAGTCCCAGCAAAACCTTGACTGCAGCATCCAGTTGTCAAATTATGAAATGAGACGACAAAAGAAGAAAAGAAAAAGGTCTGACCGGAGAGATTGGAGGGAAAATAAATTGGAATCCCAAGATTTAGTCAGATTCGATGAAAGCAAAAAGAAGAGAAAGATAAGTTGTACAATAAGAGGGCAGTCGAATAAAAAACAAGGCTCTCTTCGCTTGACGATTAGACGAGGCGAGGGATCAGGTGGTAGTGGCTATAAGCTTGTCAACACCGGGGGAATGAAGGTGCAGATCCTCTCGTCTCTCAAAGTCCCAGTTAAACGTTTTGGCTGTCCTATATGCCCCAATTCTGTGTTTTCCCGTAAAGCGGGACTGCTAGTCCACATGGCAGTTAAACACCCACAAAGAGCCTCTACCACTCAAGAGCGACTAAGGTGCCGTGTATGTGGGAAGCAGTCTCCCAGGCCTTTGGCAGCCTTCATTCATCGGGCCGTCCATCGTGCCAAAGGGACTTTTTCTTGCCGACGCTGCTCCACTCGCTTCTGGAATGCTACACTGCTCTACAGGCACAAGGTGTCCTGCCGCCGCAGGGCAAAAGGACTGCAACGAGGAGACGCCAGCAGGCTGAAGTTATCAAAAAGAGCAGGAGAGAAGGAGACCCGAGAGGGTCAGGAGGAGATGCCATTCATACAGGGACCATACAGATACTGAGCATCCTGGTATCTGAAAAGAGGCAAACCAGAGAGAGATTTCAGTTCTTAAATGGGAAGGGGGAAAAAAAGGGACTTGAAAAGGCAAAAGCTGCCTTTTTAAGAGTTATCCTCATGTCTCTGTTGACATCTATTCTGCTTAATATTAGAATGCGTGTGTTAACAACTACTGTAGAGCATCCTATAAAATATCACCAGAAATTCTTCCAGGTTATATTGGAAGAGGTTTTCAAAGATGTGACTGTTTCCATAGATTCATTAACCCATTAAGTGCATTGACACTGTGCTTGGCTGACACTGTGCAGTAACTAGACAAGTTTAGGTGAAATGACCTGCTAATGTATCTCTTTCCCATAACCAGACTCCCTGCTTCACCTCTTGCTGTATGATAAACGTCTCTACTGTGTACTTTGTTTTGTTGTTGTTCACTTAGAAGATTTTTTTTAAATGTAAAGTGCATTTATTAGGAGTAGGGACATGAGGACAAAGACCTTTTGTTGATAGTTTGTCAGTGCATGTTTGTTCTCTGGTCAAGTTTTTAGCTGAGGTTGTGAAATCACTCCTACAGTATGTGATGGTTTATTCAGTATATCCCAGGAGTTTGTAGTGTAAAACTTGATTTGAAGGTTACTCTATATTCCCCAGTGATTGAATCACAAATAGTTAAATTGTCAAAGTTGCTGGTAATTAGCATTTCAAGGATCCCTCTCCTGCCAAAATGAAGAATCTTTCAAAAAGCCTTGCTTAGTATGTACACTTTACTTCATTTATTTGAGATATTCCTAGCTTTTATACCAAGAGATTGAAAACAGGTAAAACAAGTGGACTGTAACACATGTTTATCTCATGTTATTTGTATGCTCTTTTTAGCAGTGATTATTTCTACTGTACTTCACGGTGTGTAAAAGACAAGGACCTATTATATTAGAAACAAATGTAATATTCCATGTATTTATGTGTGTAACCCAATCAGTCTTCATGCAAACCTTATACTTAACCCCTTTTACTTTTTGCTGAGTTTCAATCATATTATTACTGTCACAACTTGTTTTGTTTTTTCGGCTAAAAATGTACATTTTAAGTAAATCATGTCACTTTATTCACATGAAATGTTCATACCCCTGTCAAGCCTTGCTTTTCTTTTTTTTCTTAAGAAAAAATATAGTTTTAGTAGATTTCTATCACATTATTTACTGATAAGTCAGTAGTTGATTATATTTCAGCAATGAATAAACCTTAAGTGTAATCATTTGTTTTCCTTTTATTTCTCATTCAAAGTTGACAACTGCAATATCCAGAAGATGGTACAAACAGCTAGTCATGAGTAAGTTTTAACTTTCACCAAAGTCAGTAATGCATATAATAATTTTTAGCTTGATGTTTAATGTGAATTTCATATCAATTTGTGGATTAAATGGTTATTTTTTTTGGATGTATCATAATCACCTTCATTGGCCAAGTATGTGTAAACATACAAAGAATTTGAATCGTTTGCATTGTTCTCAGTTTGCACAGAAATATGTGACGGCTAGGATCAAGGACAACAAAAAAGAGGGATGTGCAAAGATATTAAAAAAACAAACAAGTAAAAAAACACGAATGAACGTAATTAAAACAAAACAAAAAAATCTATAAGTGTTCTGAGAGTTGAAAACTATAAAAAATGGTTTGACATGGATGATCATATGTCTATATATGCTGAATGGAACGTAAAGGATTTGTATTGACGGTGGCAGACAATATTGACATATAAACAAACCAATGGATTAAAAGACATAATCTATAATAGGATCAATGTTTTGGTACACAGGGTTATACAAGTGTATGACAGATGTAACTGTTCATCAGAGTCTCTGAGTTTACTGTTCTGGAGTAAAGTGTTGTGTAGTGCTTGCTTACCAGAGGGGAGGCAGGTTGAATTAAGGCCTAATGTTACTGCCAGATTATTCTGGGGTAATGTCTTGCTTTCAATAATTAAAATGCTCAGTACATTATCACTATATTAAAATAAAGGACTGTGTACAACACCTCACTCCACCAGATGGCAGTAAGCAACTCATTTATACTGTCCTCTTGGCCTGGTGTGGATGTGTGGCAGTCACATGGATTTTGCACTGATAGGGGGTGGACTGGATAGTGTTGTATGACTCAGTGAATTATCTGCCCGATTAATACCTAAAAGCAAATACAATGCTTGAGTATCACTTGGTAATCTCACTTTAATGTTAAGAAATTAATGTGATTTGAGGGTGAAATTAAATGCATGCATTTTTGCATTTGTATAAACTATAAATTCACAGCATTACATTGTTATTCTTCCCCTTTCTGTGATTCCAAATCAATTGTCATTATTTGAAAATATCTGAAACGGTCAAATCTATTATACTTTACTGAGTGACACCAACCCCAATGTTGTGATTTAGATTACAGTTGGACCTTGAAGTAATCATTGCTATATATTATATGTCAAAATGACTTAGTTAAACGTGTGTTTGAATTCTGATTCAACATCGAATCAATGTGTTTAGCTTTGTAACATAAAATATGATTAATCCCCACCGCTTTAGGTCGGGTCCCATGTGGTTATGATCCAAGGGGCCCACTGACGGACAAAGCGTTTAGTTGGATAGTTTTACTGTAAAGAAAAACACAGGATCACAGGACAGGGTGGACTAAAGGGGCCAAGGACATTAATGTACAACTAATAATCACATTTAGTGCACAGTATTCATAAGGACTATTTGCGTATTAAGCTGCAAGATTACTTGACTGTCAGTTATTTACATGTCCAGCTCTGGAAACAAAACAAAGAAGTGAACTCCTGTGGCGCGCGATGTTTTTGCATGTGCTCTGCAACAGTAGGCTACAGTAGACACCCCTCGCGCTTTTTGTGTTTCGAACTGGTCTCACGCGGCTGTGGCAGACGCTGAGGGGAATCCGAGCGGGCGGGTTTCTTCGACCTATTTCTGTCCAATGGGCGCGCATCGTGGGAGGAGCCGCGAGTCTGCAAAGCCAATTGTAGCCAGAGCCGCGAGCGGACAAGGCATCCTCTCCGCGTGGCTCGTACACGTGAGCTGGAACAGCTATTGTACGCCGCGAGGCAACGTGCAGGAGCGCTGCTCGCCTGAAAAAACGGCAGTCACGTTTTCTGTGGATTAGAAAAGGAGACTGGAAAAGCCATGCTGCACTACCTGATTATCACAGCAAGACAAAACTGTGCTTTAATAAATATTAGCAACGGTTTGAGGCAGTAATCCTGAGAATAAATAAATGACTTTCATTTGAGATGTCAATGTCTACAGGTGTAAAGACATTTGACTTGGTGTCATTCAAAGGATTTATTTGTGATATATACAGTACAATAGCTACAGTGTAGTCTTGGTCATGACATTCTTGAGTCTCAAGCTCTTTCAACAATGGAACATGAAAGTAAACCTAAAATAGTGCAACATTTTAAGTATTTTGCAGAAAACAGAAACAAATATGTACATATAAAATAGGATGCAATACAAAAATGTGAAATTAGATGCTATGGAGTAAACATAAATAGGCCTACTGTATACTGTAAACATATATACATATTTGGCTGTACAGATGTACAGTTTATTTTGGACATGCAGCAGGCCTATTTGGACGGTGAAACTTCCCCAGTGGTGTAAAGTCACTAAGTACATTTACTCAAGTACTGTACTTAGGAACAATTTTGAGATACTAGTACTTTACTTGAGTATTTCAATGTTGTGCTACTTTGTAGGCTACTCCTAACCCACTACAATTCAGAGGTTAATAGTGTACTTTAACTCCACTATATTTATGTTATACCTTTAGTTACTTTGCAGATTGGGATTAATGATAGGACATAATCAACATTTAATAAGACTTTAGTTACACCTGAAATCAATACACATGATTTAAAAATTGCTACACCTTTACTTGCAGTCAAAATATATAATATTGTAATCAAATGGGCCAATCTGCATAATGACTACATTTACTTTTGGTACTTTACATTAATTTTGATGCTAATACTCGTGTACCTTTAGTTGAGTAACCTTTTTGATTGCAGGGCTTTTACTAGTAGGCTATTTCTAAACTCAGGTAATTTTACTTTTACTCAGGTACACGATCTTAATACTTCTTCCACGTCTGTACTTCACAGCCCCCAGGGTCTTAACAGTCTTGTTGTTTGTGCTAAAACTGTCCCTGAGTCTGGTGGTTCAACTCATCAGCAATCACTAAAAACGTGATGGCTGCAGCAGAAACACCCTGGTGAATTTGTATGTTTCCGTCAGACACAACAAACAGCCTGCTGTCCTCGAGGAGTGGCACGAGGATAGGTGTGTCTCATAAATAATAAGAAATAATTCAGAGATGTGTTAAAGCCTCGCCCCCCCTCCCCACCCCCCCCCTCGACTTGCGACGTCACGCGAACTGCCCGTGTCCGCTCCAGCTGAGAGAGCGCGAGGACTATCGGTGGTGTTGGTGGTGGACGTCGCGCGGCCCAAACACAGATCTAAGCCCGTGCGAAGATCCACCGGATCCACAAAAAAAGTGCAGACGGAGAGAGAGAGAGAGGAAACGTCCCCCTCCTCCCCCCGACGGACAGCAGAGCGCGACAGCCGCGGAGAGGAACACCAATATACAACTTGTCATCTGACCAACAGTCACCGCTCTCGTCGCTGTGTGCGTTTTTTTGTTGTTGCTCACACTGTTTCCACTCGGTTGTTTTGTTTTGACGGAGGTCTGCTTTATTGCAACTATTTAGCGATCTTCTTTTGGATTGTCGGACGGTTCATTCGGGATATAATTCTACAAGTTTTAATTGTAACATTTTCCCGTTTGTGCAGTGAGCGGGTTTCACAGTCATTTTGACGTCTTTGTATTTTCTATATGGACAGTATTCTAAATTAGGTGGTCTGACTGTCGCTCCGTATACGCCGCTCATTTTAGAGTAACAGCTTGATCGACTGGAGAACATTTAACCGCAATGGAATATTTCGATGAAAACATTTCTGCAAGGCAATAAGGAACTCTGCACAACATCAAGTACAAGGTAACAAGACTTGCAAAGTATCATTAATCTGCATCAATAATTGTGTGCTAATACTTGTTCCATTGCATTACAATGGTTGCTTTATTCTGCATGGACACTTCTTTAAACTCTGTCTTTCTTTCTGCCCCCCTCCACCCCACACCTCCCTCATGCACACGCACACACACACACACACACACACACACACACACACACACACACACACACACACACACACACACACACACACACACACACACACACACACACACCCATACAGCATTCCTGTCCTATTGGTAGACTCTCTGGTCAGTTGGCCACGCCCCTTTGAGTGCCCCCTGTATTTTCTACGACCCCATCTGGCCCAGGATGTCCAGGCAGCTCTCCCAGCTTCCGAACCCCGACGTCCCAGCTGGTGCAAGCGCACAGTTTGGAAGTTGTACCCAGCCTGCAGGCTCCCTCACAGGGGGGCATCTCACCTCTATGGCGGGTCTGAAATCCCTCCTGCAGCACCCCATAAAGGGAGACCAACGTTCCAAACCCCCATGTGATGTAAAAGGTGAGAAACTCTCATTTGATGCATTACTACAATGTGCAAGGAATATTTAATGTACAAATCTCTGTTCCACCCACTGATGCTGCTATTATAAACCAAATATGTGACTTTTTTTTAAACAGCATATATCTTATGTCTGTTGCCCCCACCACACACACACATTGGCTCTCCCATGACTCTGCTGTGTATTCACCTGGATTATAATCCCAGCTGCGACTTCAAATTAGGAACCAGATTACCATGAGCGAAAACACGTTTCCGTTCAGCTGTAATACTGTGCCGTTTCAAAAACGTGCCTGCTTCAACTATTGTTAGATTTGTTTAGGAGCTTTTGTGTACGTTATGACAACAAATTGGTTTGGGCTTTTGCTTAATGCTGCAATTCAGCTACCATCTGGTCCATCTGTGAGTGTGTGGGAGATTTTGCAAAAGTGCATCTCATGGATACACCTGCCAACCCTATTTAGTTGTGCAGAGTTATTTAAAGTTATTCTTCATCATCTTTATGCTGTACTCATAAAGTGTCTGCTCTGTTATCTCTGTTAGACAAAGAGAGGCAGGACGATGATGAGGACTCAATGGGAGTGTGCCCCATGAGGAGTGGAATAGCCAACAATACTAGCAGTAATGGCTGTGGAGGAGGTGGTGGTGGAAATGGAGGGGGAAGTTTTAACCAATTCTTGGGGCCCCTCTTGTGGGATCGCGCCCTGTCTGCAGATGGGGGCCTCTTCCAGCTTCAGTACATGGACTTGGAGGAGTTTCTGACCGAAAATGGAATGGGCAGCATGCATAACAACAACAGCTCCAGCTCAGCCCAGATCCCCTCGCAGAGCTCCCAGTCAGCTGTGCCCAATCAGAGCTCCCAGTGCCTACCGCCCTCATCCCCACCTGGCTCTTCATCTTCATCGCCGTCTTCCTCTTCTTCCCCATCGCTCATTGGTCTGGAGGTGGTTCAGCCACAAAACCTTGGTGGAGGAAATGACTGTTTGCATGGTGAGTTCACTTACATGGAGCATTTTGTTCCAGATAATACAAAAATGATCAAGGACAGTTCATTCTCCAAGGTTTGTCCATATCAGCTGAAAACAAGCAATAACGCAGGAGAGGGTTATGCAGACGTTGCAGAGTTGACATGCTGAAAGAGACAAATTGTCCTCTATAGATGATATGAGACAAGTAAATCCTAAAATGAATAATGCTTGATATGTAATCAAGGTTATATGACGTGCTAAAGTTCCCACAGGCTAGTGATTCAGCACTTTAACTCTCCTTACCGTTTCCAACAAATTACATAGTGACCAAGCATTTTTCTGTCCTGTGGGGTCAAACTGAAGGCAGCAGCTACAGTCACATGGCTCAACACGCAAAGTCAACTTGAGAGGGAAAACGCAGGGCTTACAAATGGCTGCTTAGCAAAATCTGAGTGTATTGGAGCAGTGTGCAGGCCCAGGGTTAAAAGTTGGGCGAGGAAGCAGGGAGATGTGGAGGGAAAAAAGATAAAGAAAGGGAGAGGATTTGTAAAGGAATGACATCTTGAGCTTTTTGATGAGTCAAACTCATTGCATTGACAATAATGTTTAGTCTGGCATGTGATCTACAACACAATCAGCATTCAGTCCCAGCCCATCATAAATGTGCAGCAGGGTCAAAACAGTTCTGGGAGAGAGAGAGAGAGAGAGAGAGAGAGAGGGAGAGGGAGAGAGAGAAGTGTGCA